TACTGTGCTCTTTTCAGGACGTGCCCGCTAGGGAGTGCACACCCAGCCGGCCTGAGAGTGGTTCCCTCCTACTGTGAGTCTTGGCCTCCTTGAGCCAACAGTAACTAGACACCGCCCCCTCCCCTCCCCTCCCTCTGCAGGCTTTGGGAGGCTGTGAACCCACAAGTAGAGAACTCACAGCAATTGGACTAGCAAGCGAGGAGGGCAGGCCTGCTGGAAGCTGCAGGGAGGGGCGGCACCCAGGAAGGAGCCAACCCCAGACTCAGGGTCCTGGCAGGAGGCAGACCAGGAGTGGTCTAGCCGGATGCTCAGAGCAGGCTCTGTCCCTACCATCGCTGGGTCCTGTAGGCTTGCAGTCACCTTCTGTCACTGGCCACATCCATCCTCAAAGCCCCAAGACCATGAGAGTAGCCCCCTGGGACAGCAGGGTCCCCGTAAGTAGGTCGGTCTAGTCCCTTTCTTGAGGGTCTCGTGCTAACAATTGGGTCATCACGGTGAGTCGGAGGGCCTGGTGGGGGTGGTTCCAGAGGACTCGGATGGGATATACAGTCCTTCCAGTGGGCTCTCGGGGGCCAGAGAGCTCACGCCTGCGGGAAGCCTGAGCCAGGACCTCTGTCCTGGGGTCTGGGCCAGGGTGGGTGGGAGGTGGGGATGAGAGGTGTGGGCTGCCAGAGGAAGTGTGCATGGCTTTAACCTCCTCGGATTTTGGCAAGGGCGGCCTCTTTGGCAAGGCCTGGCTCTCTGGGCTCCAGGCTGCTTCCTGGAGAAGGGGGAACGGTCCGAGGCACGGGGCGGCCCACCTGCCCAGTCCCTCCAGCTGGCGCAGGGGGGCTGCCCGCCGTGCCTGCTCTTGCTTGTGCTGGCCTGCTCGTCCTTGGCGTGCAGCTGGCGCTCGGCCAGGTTGGTGAGGCTGCCGCAGATGGGGGTCAAGGCCTCCGTGTAGTCCGTCTCCATGATGCAGCATAGGAGCCTCTCACAAAATCCCTGTGGGGGCGATGGGGGTAAGGTGGGGGTGCTGGGGTCAGCCAGCCTGGGCATCACACATTCCTGCGATGAGATTGTCGGGGGCCCCCACCTACAGCATTGTCTCAGCCTCGCTTCTCCAGAACTGCACTCCGACCCATGACTGACCGCCCCAGCTGCCCAGCCTGGGTCTCGGCCAAGGCCGTCTAAGCTGCACCCACCCCATGGCCGAGGGGGTCAGCTAGTCCCAACCCCGCATTCAGCACATTCTCTTTGACCAGCACTCCCTCTAGTGGCAACCCACTCCAGTATTCTGTTTTGAAGAATCCCACGAACAGAGGAGCCTGGCAGGCTACAGTCCATGGAGTCTCAAAGATTTGGACACGAATTAGCTACTAAAGTGAAGTCGCTCAGTCGTGTCCAACTCTTTGCGATCCCATGGACTGCAGCCTACCACGTTCCTCCATCCATGGGACTTTCCAGGCAAGAGTACTGGAGTGGTTTGTGATTTCCTTCTCCAGGAGATCTTCCCAACCCAGGGATTGAACCCGAATCTCCCACATTGTAGGCAGATGCTTTATCATCTGAGCCACCAGGGAAGTCTAATTTCAGACAGGCTTCAGCAACACGTGAACCGTGAGCTTCCAGATGTTCAAGCTGGTTTTCCAAAAGGCAGAGGAACCAGAGATCAAATTGCCAACATCTGCTGGATCATCAAAAAAGCAAGAGAGTTCCAGAAAAACATCTATTTCTGCTTTATTGACTATGCCAAAGCCTGTGACTGTGTGGATCACAACAAACTCTGGAAAATTATGAAAGACATGGGAATATCAGACCACCTGACCTGCCTCTTGAGAAACCTGCATGCAGGTCAGGAAGCAACAGCTAAAACTAGACATGGAACAACAAACTGGTGTCAAACAGGAAAAGGGGTACCTTGAGGCTGCATATTGTCACCCTGCTTATTTAACATACATGCAGAGGACATCATGAAAAACACTGGGCTGGAAGAAGCACAAGCTGGAATCAAGATTGCCAGGAGAAATATCAATAACCTCAGAAAAGCAGATGACACCACCCTTATGGCAGAAATCGAAGAAGAACTAAAGAGCATCTTGATGAAAGTGTAGGAAGAGAGTGAAAATGCTGGCTTAAAGCTCAACATTCAGAAAACTAAGATCATGGCATCTGATCCCGTCACTTCATGGGAAATAGATGGGGAAACAGTGGAAACAGTGTCAGATTTAATTTTGGGGGGCTCCAAAATCACTGCAGATAGTGATTGCAACCATGAAATTAAAAGATGCATACTTCTTGGAAGGAAAGTTATGACCAACCTAGATAGCATATGAAAAAGCAGAGACATTGCTTAGCAAAAGGTCCATCTAGTCAAGCCTATGGTTTTTCCAGTGCTCATGTATGGATGTGAGAGTTTGACTATAAAAGAAAGCTGAGTACCAAAGAACTGATGTTTTTGAACTGTGGTGTTGAAGACTCTTGAGAGTCCCTTGGACTGCAAGGAGATCCAACCAGTCTATTCTAAAGGAGATCAGTCTTGGGTGTTCCTTGGAAGGACTGATGCTGAAGCTGAAACTTCAATACTTTGACCACCTGATGCAAAGAACTGACTCATTGGAAAAAAAACCCTGATGCTGGGAGGGATTGCGGGCAGGAGAAGGGGATGAGAGAATGAGATGGCCGGATGGCATCACCGACTCGATGGACATGAATTTGAGTAAACCCTGGGAGTTGGTGATGGACAGGGAGGCCTGGCGTGCTGCGATTCATGGGGTCGCAAAGAGTCGGACACGACTGAGTGACTGAATTGAACTGAACTGAACTAGCTACTAAAACAATAACAAATGCATCAGAGGTCAACAGAGCAAGACCCAAAGCCACCTAGACCCAAGACTTTTTAATTAAGATTCCCACTTAGCGTCTGTCCACACTGCCTCAGCCTCTGCATGCTGCCTCTCACACCAGGGAGCCCATGACCCACAGCAGTCCATCTCTACTTCACTGAATCCAGCTGGTCAGAAAACAAGTGTCCCCCATGTAGTGCCAACACTCATCCCCACAAAATTCACTCATTGTTCCTCAGTCTGCCTTCTGCAGACATGTTAACCAGTATGGGACAGACCCCCGAAGGCACTCGTCACATGCCCCTTCTTTCACAGCCCACATTTGCTCTACCTTCCACTCTCCTCTGGGCTTTTTCTTTCAAAGATTATTCAAGTGACATGATTGCAGTTCCATCCCAAAGACCCTGACTGTGTGCCTGCAGTGTCCAGCTAACTCTGGTTCTCCGCGTAGTGGATACAGAGATGGGTGGTTGCTGTTCAGGCGTGTCTGACTCTCTGTGACCCCAGGCTCCTCTGTCCATGGGATTCCCCAGGCAAGAATACTGGTGTGGGTTACCATTTTCTTCTCCAAGGGATCTCCCAACCCAGGGATCGAAGCTGCATCTCTTCTGTCTCCTGCATTAGCAGGCAGGTTCTTCCCCACTTGCACCACCTTGAAAGCCCACACTCTCTTGTAGCATGGTGTATTTCAGAAAGGTCACAGGTCAATAACTTTAAGGACACCAGACCCAGTGGCTGAGTTGCCTGATACCAGCTGTGGTTATTCTGAACCTCTGATGAAGAAAACAAACAACAAAAAAAAAACATTACCTTCTAGAGGATATAAAACTTCTATTCCCACGGGAGGGGCACAGCTCTCGAGGTGCTAGCCTGCTGTTTCCCTTTTGCCTAGAAAAAATAAGTTACTCTTTTTTATTGCTTCCAAACTCTGTCTCTGTATTTCTATTTGGCATCTGTGGACCAGGAGCCAAGATTTTGGGAACATAACTGGTGTGAACAGCTTGTGTTCCCAAAGCCACCTAGGGAAGGATTAAAGTGGGCTGGGGTCAGCAGAAATCCTAGCTAGGGTGACCCCAGCTCCAATGGGAAAACCCACATTTTAAAAACTTCTATGTGTAACACAAAGAAGAAAACAAACCAGCAAAGGTGTGGACAAAATTAAAGAACAAGTGGGGAAGAAGAGGCAGGTGGATAGAAGGGTATTTTCAGTGATAACAGTACAGTTCAGTCACCCAGTTGTGTCCAACACTTTTTGACCCCATGGACTGCAGCACACCAGGCCTCCCTGTCCATCAGGAACTCCTGGAATTCACCCAAACCCATGTCCATTGAGTCAGTGATGCCATCCAAGCATCTCATCCTCTGTCATCCCCTTCTCCTCCTGCCTTCAATCTTTCCCAGCACCAGGGTCTTGTCCAATGAGTCAGCTCTTTACATTAGGTGGCCAGAGTATCGGAGCTTCAGCTTCAGCTTCAGCGTCAGTCCTTCCAATGAAGATTCAAGGTTGATGTCCTTTAGGATTGACTGGTTTGATGTGTAATGCATAGAAATTCATGGTTTTATTGCTCAAAATGCAGATCAGGGCTCTCTCTCAGCTAAAAATGTCAAGGACAGTCTCCGAGCCCCACTTTTGGTTCAGGGAAACAGGGTCCTTTCACTTTGTTTTGAAATTCTTTGTATTCTACTCATTCTGCCAGTGGGACCACCCTGCCCCTTCCTGCAAGCTGTCCAGTCCTTGGAGAAGAGGACTCTTCTTCCAAGACCCCTCTGTCCACCCGTCTCCTCCAACTGCCCTGACCACACCTCCCCACCCTAGGCTCCTATGCCTGTGTCCTCAGGGGACTTGGCTGTGAATTGCCACCTCCCCCCCAAATGTTCCTTTCCCCAAAAACGCCACCATACCTCACCACATATGTGGGTGACAGAAAATCTGTGTAGCAAAGTAATGCGGTTTTTCAATCACCGGGACCTTTGCACTCCTCCAAGAGCGGGTTCCCAGAGCCCAGGGAGGCACTTGGATCTGAGCGTTCCAAGGGTCTGGGACCCAATGGTGATGATTCCAGTGATACCACCCCCCACCCTGCCAGGGGACCTGCTCCCCATTGAGTCACGACTGAGGACCCCCAAGGGCTCCTGCTTTGTCAACCCATCCTGCCGTCCTCCACACTACTGTTGATGTGTATCGGGCAGAGAACGGAGCTTTTCCTTGTGGTGTGTTTTTGTTCTGTCCAGGAGAGAACTCAGAGAAAAGGTCAGTGTATAGGTCCCAGGCTTACTCCTTAAAGGACTCCCACGAGGAAGGGAGCACAGGATAGTGAAAGACCCTGGGATGGAGTTTGAGAAACTTGGGACAGGAGGAGACAGGATCGGGGAGGTCTTAATTCTGCGTGCTGACATCTGTGTTGGTGTTTGTCAGCAATTCAGAAGCTGCTGGTGTGGAGGGAGCCCCTTGAGAGGTGTCATGAGGGCAGCTCAGGGGGATTCCTCACTGATCATTAGTTTTCTGTGTCCAGAGAAAGGGGAGGAAAGGCCTTCCTAAGCAGGGGTAGTGATCTATCAGTGTGTGACAGATTACCTAAATGTAATGGCCTAAAGTAACACCCATTTATTTTCTCAGTTTGTGGAGTCAGGAGTCCATGGCTCAGTGGGGTCGTTTGCTTGGGGTCTCACAGACTGCCCTCAAGAGGTCACCTGGGCTGCAACCTTTCTGAAGCCCAGTCCTCTTCCAAGCTCATGTGGTTGTTGACAGTATCCAGTTCCTTTCAGATGTAGGACTGAGGCCCTCGGTTCCCCGTGACATAAGCAGTTAACATCACTGCTGTTAACTTTTCAAGCATAGCATGAGAAATCCCAATCTGCTGAGATGCAGTTGTGTGAGATACAATGAAATCATGGAGTAAGACCATCATGGGAGGGTCCCCTCACCTTTGCCATATGCGATTGGCTAGTGTGTGTGTGTGCACGCGTGCGTGTGTGTGTGTGCGTGTGCGCTTGTATATTCAATCATGTCTGACTCTTTGCAACCCTTGGAACTGTAGCCTGCTAGGCTCCTTTGCCCATAGGATTTTTCAGGCAAGAGCATTGGAGTGGACTGCCATTTCTTCCTCCAGGGGATCTTCCTGAGCCAGGGATCAAATGCGAGTCTCCTGCATCTCTTGCCTTGCTGGCAGATTCTTTACTCACTGAGCCATCGTTAGAATATGGGTCTCACCAAGTTACAAGTTCCTCCCACACTCTAGGGAAGGGGGTTATGCAGGGTGGGACTCACTGCGGGTCATCCTAGAATGGGTGACATGCCAAGTATTTTATTAATCTTACCTCCAAAGAGCTTGAAGAAGAGATGGCAGAAGCAGCAACCGAGTCACATGAGGACCCATCAGAGGAAACAGAGGACCTGGGGCCTCTGGAACCAGAGGACAGTGGTGAGAAAACCAAAGCCCTCCCTGCACTCTTGCCTCATTTTGGCTACCTCCTCGAGGGTAAGCCCCAACCAAGGTCTCAGTTTTCCCATCTGTACAGTGGGCAGGAAGGTCCCCCCCATGCCCCAGGTGTGGCTAGGGCTGGGCTGGTGTCAGGGAGATACTGGGGCAACGGGGGCACCCCCTGTAACAGTCATCTTGCCATCACGTCCACCACCTTTGTCTCAGGTACCTTCCAACAAGTCACAAACATCCTCAATATCATGGAGAGTGAGTCAACCAAAACGGATGCTGCAGGAGCAGGTTTCGACATGAGGAAGAGGCTGGCCTCGGTGATCATCCCAGAGAAGGCCACCACCGAGCCTTCCGTGGTGATGAATGCTCTCATCTGCTGCCTGCAGGTCCCGGAGGTAGGGCCTCCTCCCCCTAGGCGCTTCTCTGAGCTTGGCCACCTGCTTGCATGTCCATCCACCGCACAGCACACATTTACTGAGTGCTGTGAGGGCAGGGCTAGGTGTTGGGGCCCCTGAGGACCAACTGGGCCCTGGGGTGCTCACAATTTTTCAAAGCTCCTCTGTATTCTGATTCGGTGGGCTTGGGAGTCATCCTCTTAGGGCAGGTGAGCCGAGCAACAAAGGTATTGAGTAGAAGTGAAGCTGGAAGGTGTGGGCGAGCAGAGACAGGGCAGATGCAGAGTGCAGGGGCGCTTGCCAGTGGGGAGGTTGTTTCCTGGGGCAGAGGGTGTTGATGGGACTGATGGAGAATGTGGCCAAGATCATGCTGGGCCTTGTACAACAGGACCAGAGCATCAGCATCTTCTGAGTGCTTGTTACAGCTCAGATTTCTGGGGCCCATCGTGAGAGCTTCTGATTCAGGGGACGTGTGGGGTAGAACCCGAGACTCAGCATTTTTAGCAAGTTCCCAAATGATGTGTCTGCTCGTCTGCAGAGCATGCGTAGAGAGATGCTGGGTTTTAGAGTATCCTTGAGTTTTGATGGTGGGAAGCAAAGGAGTTATTCCCTGTAGGAGTTCTCTGCGTATGTGTGTATTTCAGCCCCGTCATGTCACTGTCAGGCCGGAAGGTTCCCCGACCAGGGACCGAACCTGGGCCTCTGCAGTGAAAGTGCTAAACCCTAACCACTAGGTAACCAGGGAACTCCTCTTAGGAGTTCTTTCCTCCTCCGCCTTTTTTTTGTTGGCCACTCTGAGCAGCATGTGGATCTTAGTTCCCCAGCCAGGGATTGAACCTGGATCCTCCCACTGGAGGCTCAGAGTCTTAATCGCTGCACTGCCAGGGAAGCCCCTAGGACTTCTCAGTAGCAAGCTTTGTTTCACAGAAAGCCATGTGGCAGCCATGAGAAAGGATGGGCAGGGTCCAAGAGCGCAGGAAAGAGGTTTGCAAAGCAGATCTTAAAATGCAGGTTTTATTATGACTCAGGCACAGGAGGCTCCGGTTTGACTCCTGGCTCGGGAAGATCCCCTGGAGAAGGAAACGGCTACCCACTCCAGTATTCTAGCCTGGAGAATTCCATGGACAGAGGAGGCTGGCGGGCCACAGTCCATGGGTCACAAAGAGTCAGACAGGACTGAGCGACTTGCACTTTCACTTTCATAGTGAGCCCAACAGCTCAGGAGAGGATCGCCTTGAAAAACTAGTCTCTCACTCACAGCTCCCCAGAGGCAGGGGCGTGCCATGCCATGCCATCCCACAGGAAAGCACCAGGTTGGGCGGCAGGCAGAGGGAGCAAGGGGAAAATGTGTGCAGGAGTGTGGATTCTCCAGGGAGGACTGGCGAAGCAGGTGGAGCAGACGTTCGATTAGCGAGTCAGCTGCGGGGTGTGGGACTGCCTGAGTGGTCTGGTCCCTGGCCCCAGGGTGATCAGAGCAGGTGTATACTGGTCCAGGGCTCCCCACGTGGCTCAGCTGTAGAGAATCCGCCTGCCAGTACAGGAGACACGGGTTCAGTCCCTGCGTGGAAGAGATCCCGGAGGAGCAAAGGGCCACCTGCTGCTGCTGCTGCTAAGTCGCTTCAGTCGTGTCCGACTCTGTGTGAGCCCATAGACGGCAGCCCACCAGGCTCCCCCATCCCTGGGATTCTCCAGGGAAGAACACTGGAGTGGGTTGCCATTTCCTTCTCCAATGCATGCAAGTGAAAAGTGAAAGTGGTCGCTCAGTCGTGTCCGACTCTTAGCAACCCCATGGACTGCAGCCTACCAGGCTCCTCCCCACATGGGATTTTCCAGGCAAGAGAACTGGTGTAGGTTGCCATTGCCTTCTCCGAAAGGGCCACGTACTCTGGTATTTCTGCCTGGAGAATCCCATGGACAGAGGAGCCTGGTAGACTACAGTCCATGGGATTGCAGACTCCTACACGACTGCACGACTAAACAGCGGCAGCATAGAGGCCCAGAGCGTGAGAGCCTGATGGAGGAGCTGCTTGGGCATGGGCTCTGGACTGGTTTAACAAGCTTGCTGGTGGGGGAGCTGTTTGCTGTCTCCAGGAACTGACTAACCCCCAGGAGACTTTCGGGTCCACAAGACCCCAAGAGATCAAAGCATCGGGAAATTTGGAAAGTTACAAAAACCGTGATTAATACCCAGGCCATGATAGCTGATCAGCAGCAATAAACAGGGGATAAACAAGGAGGCACGCTGTCAGATTTAATCTGTGTCGACATTTTCAGTTATTCGTTAATTAGTGAAGGAACCAGCAAGATGTTACATGTCTGCTCATTTACTTCAGTCTTGTCCAATACATTGCAACCCCATGGACTGGAGCCTATGAGGCTCCTCTGGCCACGGAATTCTCCAGGCAAGAGTACCAGAGTGGGTTGCCGTGGCCTCTTCCAGGGGATCTTCTGACGCAGGGATTAAACTCGCGTCTCCCATGTCTCAGGCATTGGCTGATGGATTCTTTACCACCAGCGCCACCTGGGGAAGCTCCGAAGCTGTCAAAATCTGTTAAAATGAGAATTTTACTTCTAGAGACTTATATTCTTTACCAGCCAAAATTCCTTTGCCTTGTCACAGACAGGAATCATTTTCATGATCAGTTTCCTATAACTAAGCTTCTGTCTCCGTGGAGACATAGACTAGACCATCACAGTCAATCAAAGACACACACTCCCATAGTCCGGATCATCCTTCAGAGGCCGTGGGACATCACCAAGCCTGCCTCTGGGAGGCCACTCAGTGCTTCTTTTATGACACTTTCAAAGTCTTGGACAATTTTTCTCTTGTGACCAGAAATATTCTCCAAGACTAATTTTGACCACAGAAAAGACTGGGCTTATAAGTTGCCTGGCTGTTTACATATCTGCAGCCACAGTGTTAGCTGCACATTGAGGCTTCCTTGAGTTTGCTTTGAAAACCAAGAGCATGAATTTTCAACAGGGTGAGACTCCACAACAGGTAACATTGGTTCTTGCACAGTGGGGTAGGGATGTGTATGTGTGAAGGAAATGTTAGTTTTTGATGTACAAAGCACAGAAATGGATAATCAGATATATAATATCTTTGTGGTATTACACTTTCATGGTGGGGAGTGATTAGGAAAAACATGCTTTCGGAGGTTCCCTAGGGGAACAATAAAAAAATTTAGAAAAAAACAATGAAAAAAAAGGAGGTTGAGAAAGCTAGGACCATCAATAGTGAGTAGCCAAGGCCACAAGTTTCTCTTCTGTCCTGGGGTTTTCATGAGGAGTCTCTCACTGGAGTTACAAGCCTCTGAAAAGTGAAAGTGAAAGTTGCTCTGTTGTTCCCTCCAACTCTTTGCGACCCAATGAACTGTAGCCTGCCAGGCTTCTCTGTCCATGGAATTCTCCAGGCCAGAATGCTGGAGTGGGTAGCCATTCCCTTCTCCAGGGGATCTTCCCCACCCAGGAATTGAACTGGGTCTACCTACATTGCAGGTAGATTCTTTACCAGCTGAGCTATAGGCCTCTATTGAGTTCAGTTCAGTTCACTCAGTCGTGTCCAACTCTTTGTGACCCCATGGACTGCAGCACACCAGGCCTCCCTGTCCATCACCAACTCCTAGAGTTTACCCAAACTCATCTCCATCGAGTCGGTGATGCCATCCAACCGTCTCATCCTCTGTCGTCCCCTTCTCCTCCCACCTTCCCTTGTGGCTCAGATGGTAAAGACTCTGCCTGCAACATGGGAGATCCTGCTTTGATTCCTGGGTCAGGAAGCGCCTCTGGAGAAGGTATCGGCAATCCACTCCAGTATTCTTGCCTGCAAAATTCCCTGGACAGAGGAGCCTGGTGCAGGCTACTGTACATGGGGTCACAAAGAGTCGGACACGACTGAGCGACTCTTCTTCTATCCTCATTCAGGTCACTTAAAATGGTGACCAGAGCTATGCGGGAAGCAAACTAGAGCATGTTGCCTTAAACTCTGCAAGAGGGTCAGCGCCAAGTCTGTGGAGGACCCTGTATGCTGACCATCTGACCTCCGCCTTGCTGAGTAGGGAGGAGAGATGCAGGCCTCGGGGGCAGGGCCGGCTGGATGAGTCTGATGGGAGAGGGGAGGAGGGTGTGCGACAGGCTGGAGCTGCGGGCAGAGCTGGGGCGGTTTGAGGATGGTGGGTTCATCACCAGCTGGAGTGTTAATCATACGGCATCCAATTTCAATGTATGGATTCCCCTGTCACGCAATCCCTTGACATCAGCTGGGGGTGGGGGTGGGTGGAGGGTCCTACAATTGAACTCAATTCTGACACTGTCTGCCTGGAGATAGTGTCAGATTCCATGGGTTAAGGGCTCAGTCCCATTAAGGTGGCACTAGTGGGAAAGAACCTGCCTGCCAATGCAGGAGACGTAAGAGACACGGGTTGGATCCCTGGGTTGGGAAGATCCCCTGGAGGAGGGCACGGCAACCCACCCCAGTATTCTTGCCTGCAGAGTGCCATGGACAGAGGAGCCTGGCAGGCTATATAGTCTATAGCGTCACAAAATGTCGGACATGACTGAAGTGACCCAGCACACGCGTGCACCGGTAAGACGACCCCAGCCTGGCCTTTGCTTCAGACGCCAGTGGGAAGTGTGGCCAATTGGCTATAGACCGGAGGTTCCCATGACCCCCTACTCGAGTTTAATCAATTTGCTAGAGGGGCTCACAAAATACAGAGAAACCTTTTACTTACTAGATGACCAGTTCATTCTAACTCAGGACCAGCCAGATGGAAGTGATGCATAGGGTGAGGGTATGGGAAAGGGTGTGAAGTTTCCATGCCCTCTCTGGGCCTCCCATTGCCCCTAAATCTGCATGTGTTCAGCAGCCTGAAGCTCTCTGAACCCTGTCCTTTGGATTTTTATGGGGGCTTCATTATCTAGGCATAGTTGATTAAATCACTAGCCATTGGCAATTGATTCAACTTCCAGCCCCACTCTCCTCCTTGGAGGTTGAGTGGGTGGGACTGAAAGTTCCAGTCCTCTCATCAGAAGATGGGCTCTCCTGCCAACCATTCCCTATCCTTCAAGTGAAAGGGAGAATCACTCAGTCTTGTCTGCCTCTTTGCAACCCCATGGACTACACAGTCCACGGAATTCTCCAGGCCAGAATACTGGAGTGGGTAGCCATTCGCTTCTCCAGGGGATCTTCCCCCAGCCCAGGGATCGAGCCCAGGTCTCCCACACCCACACGGCAGGCAGATTCTTTACCTGTTGAGCCACCGGGGAAGCCCTCCCCATCCTTAGGTGTGGACCAAAAATCGTCTCATTAATACAACAACAAAAGGCATCTTTGTCACTCTCATTACTTAGGAAATTCCAAGGATTTCAGGCTTCTGCACTTGGGTGAAGACCAAACACACGTCTTATTACAAATCACAGTCTCCTAGGGATTAGGGGGAGGGCCAGCAGGAGGGGGACTGCGGTGGATCTGCGGGCTCCCAGGCCCCACTGCCTGTCCCGCACCTCCCCACCCACCATACTTGTTCCCCAGATTTCCACTCAGCGCAAAGTCAACATCTACAACATCCTCCAGGAGTTCACCCAGCAGGAGGAGGAGCGCTCCGTCCAGAGGCTGGTGGCCATCGCCTCCAGGGAGATGAGGGGCATGCTGGAGGTAGCGGGGGTCCTGCCCTGCCCGCCTGCCACCGCCCCAGGGGCTGGGCTCTGGGGGGCCGGTGGGATGCCCGAGGCCTCTGTCCGGTGAGCTCACGGGGACAACAGTAGGCTGAGGGGGCCCAGGAGGGCCCAGCGGAGCCGGAGCAGGCGAGGAGCAGGCACTGCTGGGGCGGCCACGTGTCCTCCTCCCGTGCCCTGCAGATGGAGGGCTACGTGAGGGCAGAGGTGGCCAGCGACACCCTGGTGGCCCTGTCCCGAAACCACTTCAGCCTGGTCATGTACGAGCTGCAGCACCATCTCAAACCCCTCAACCTCACGGAAGAATCTGTCATCGTCACCCTGGCCAAGCTGGCCAACGGCAACGGTAGGGCTCGAGGGGACTGGGCCCCAGCGTCTGCCCGCCGGGCCAGCCCTCCGCCTCTGCCCTGGTGCCCGCGCCCGCCCGCTCCCGTGTCTCCCTCTTCCGGCCTTCCTCCGGCCTTCCTCCGTCTCACTTCCGGTGTCTCTCCGGCCCTCTCGGCCGCTGAGCTCCCCTCCCTGTGCCCCGTCCTGCGTCTTTTCTCCTGCCGGCCCTTCTCTCGCACGCCTGTCTTTCCTGCTCCCTCTCTGGCCCCGGTCTCTCCCTCGCTCCCTCCCTCCTTCCCTTCTGAGCCCGCTCCGCGCTCCGCGCTCCACGCAGGCCTTGCGGCGCGCAGTGGCCGCGGGTCAGGAGCCCCTGGGAACCGGTACACGAGAAAACGGAGTGTCCCCATGGAGAGGGCGCGCGGCTGTCCCCTGCGTCCCCGCCGCCTCACCCCCGGTCTCTGGTCGTCAGGCTAGAGAGCTTATGAGGCAACAAGGGGGTGGCGGCCTGGGAGGGCGGCCCACGCCCCGCCTCCTCACTCTGCTGCCTGCGGGCCCAGGAAGAGCAGGGCTCTTCCCTCTGTTCCTCCGTCCCTCCCGTCCTCCTCCCCTCTCCCGGTCTCCCGGTCTCCCGGTCTCCCCTCTTCTCCCCTCCCCCTCCCCTCTCCTCTTCTCCCCCCTCCCCGCCTTCCCCTCCTTCCCCTCCCCCCTCCTTCCCCTCCCCTCCTTCCCCTCCCCCGCCCCGTCCCCAACCCCTGTCCCCCTCCCTCCATTCCCCCGTCCCCTCCCCACCCCTGCCCCCTACCCCCTGCCTCCTCCCCACCCCCTGTCCCCCTCCCCCGTCCCTTCCCCACCCCCTGTCCCTCCCCTTCCCCCCTCCCCCATTCCTTTCCTCCCTCCTCCCTTCCCCCTTCCCCCCTTCCCCCCTCCCCTCCGCTTCCCCGTCTCCCCTCCCCTGCCCTGTCTCCTCTCCTGTCACCCCATCTCCCCTTCCCTCATCTCCACCTCCCCTCATCTCCTTCCCTGTCCTGGGAGACAGAGGGGGGAGGAGAGGAATTGGAGATGAGGAATGGAGAGAGGGGGAGAGGGGCGGGGGTGGGGTAGGGGAAGGGGTGGGGGAGGGAAGGGAAGGGGAGAGGAGGGGAGAAGGAGGAGGGGAGGGGTGGAGACGGGGGAGGGGGATGGAGACTGGGGAAGGCCTCCCTCCCCTCCCCCATCTCCTTCCCCTCCCCCGTCTCCCCTCCCCTTCCCTCTCCCCTCTCCCTCCCCTCTTCCCCCCACCCCCGTCTCCGCTCCCCTCTCCTCTCCCCCTGTCTCCCTTTCCCTCTCCCAGGGGGGCAGGGTCGATGGGGAGAGAGGAGGGGAGACGGGGGTAGGGTGGAAGGGAGACAGGAGGGGGGGGACAATGAGGGGAGATGGGGAGCCAGGAGGGGAGATGGGGAGAGAGTTGGAGACGGGGCGGTGAGCTCTCTCCCCTCCCACCCGTTTACATCCCCTCCCCCATCTCCTCCCTCCCCCCCCAGGTCTTCCTCCCCTATCCCCGTCTCCCCTCCCCTCTTCCCCCACCCGTCTCCCCTCCCCTCCCCTGTCTCCCCTCCCCCTGTCTCCTCTCCCCTCCCCATCTCCCCTGCCCTCTCCCCCAGTCTCCTTTTCACTCTCTGCAGAGGGGATGGGAGACAGGGGAGAGGTGGAGAGACCTGGGGAGGGGACAAGGGAGGGGAGAGGGGCGGGGAGATGGGGAGGGGAGGGGAGACAAGGGGAAGGGGAGGGGAGATGGGGGAATGGTGGGAGACGGGTCTCCCCACCCCTACCCCTCCCCCCTCCCATCTCCCCTTCCCTCCTCTCTTGTTCCCTCATCTCCTTCCCAGTCCTGGTAGACACAGGGGAGAGGAGATGGAGGTGGGGAGAGGGGAGGGGAGAGGAGGTGGGGAGAGGAGATAGAGGTGGTGATAGGGGAGGGGAGGTGGGAAGAGGGCAGGGGAGGCGGGGAGGGAGAGAAGGGTAAACACCTCCCCATCTCCCCTTCTTTCCCCTCCCTCTTCTCCCCTCCCCTTCCCCCTCCCCTCCCCCTTTCCCCTTCCCCTTTCTCTCCTCCCCTCCTCCCCTTCTCCCCTCCCCCTTGCCCCCTCCCATATCGCTTTCCCCTTCCCCCTCCCCCCTTTCCCCCTCCCCCCTTTCCCCCTCCCCTTCCATTCCCCCCCTTAACCCTCCCCTTCCCCCTTCTCCCCTCCAATCCCGTTCCCCTCCTCCCCTCCCCCATCTCCCCTCCCCCTTCTCCCCTCCCCCTTCTCCTCCCCTCCCCCATCTCCCCTCCCCTTCCCCCTTCACCCCACCCCCTTCCCCCTTCTCCCCTCCCCCTTTTCCCCTCCCCCTCCCCGTCCCCTCCCCTTCTCCCCTCCCCCTTCTCCTCCTCCCCTCCCCCATCTCCCCTCCCCTGAACCCCCGCATCACCCCCCCACATCTCCCCTCCCCTTCACCTGCTCCCAGCTCACACTTCTTTCCTCCCCGGCCTCCTACCCTCTCCTGTGGCCCAGCCCATGCAAAGGGGTTCCCTGGCCCTGCTCTGGGCCCTGGAGGTGTGGGCGATGGTGTTGCCACCTCTGATGACCCTCCTCCTCCGACAGCCTGAGACCTCTGCCCACACCTCGCAGTGTTTGAGTTCATGCCACACATGGGCATCACCCTGGCCACTGTGTTCACCATGCTGAGGATCGCCAGTGAAGCCAAGATGCGCCAGGTGACCTGTGGTGGAGAGTGTCCCGCCTGGGCCTGCAGGTCTGGCCTGATCAGGGCGCTGACAGGAGGAGGTGGGTGTACAGGTAGAGACAAAGGGCAGTGGGGATCGCAGGAGAGGGAGACCAGGGAGATGGTCCCAGCTCGGGCTTGACTTGGCTCATTTATATCTGATCCCCTTGCCCCAGGTTTTGATTATGTCATGATTTTGTGGCCCCAAGTCCCCAATACCTGAGAAAAGTAGGACAGAACGTACTGGCCACTCTTTGCTTTGGAGTCCCCAGGATCTGAGTTAGAAACTCTTCTTCGAGGTCTCACCCTTGACCTTGCAACATGAACCTCAAGGCTGGGGCCCAGTCACATGTGTGTGCTCCACCCCCCGGGGGAGTCTTTCACCCTCAGACAGGGAGGGGCTTCATGCAGGACCAAACTTAAGGAGCTGAGAGGGGGGTTGGAAAGGCAGATGGCGAGGGCTGAAGGAGACTTTTCTAGCAGCATCTCTGGCCATCTCTGTAACCTGCTGGTTATGGAAGTGTGAGGGCTCCTCCTGAGAAGGCGCCCCGGAAGGCTCTGTTCTGCGTCCTGGCCCTCGGGGCTCACTGCACGTGCCCCGGGGCAGCCATGGAGACCTTCTGCGAGACGGTGCAGTTTTACCTGAGGCACTTGGAGGACAGCGTGTACCCCGTGATGACTGAGGACCAGTTTGCGCTGAAGCTGTTCCCCGTGTATCGCTACTTCGTGACGGTGTGGCTGCGGAACAACACCCCGGAGGTGAGACGGGCCCTCCCGGGTGGGGGTGGGAGCCCGTGGTCCTCGGGTCATCGCTCTCCAGCCTGTGCAGCCGGCCGGACTGAGACACCACTGGGTCCAAGGAGGGGGAGACCTGATCGGCAGAGCCAGGGGGGCCCTGCGGGTGTCTTGATGAAGGCCCCTGGAGTTGCTGGACCAGGGTCCCTGTTCCACGTGTGCCGGGCACTCTCCCAGCGGTTCACTTGTGGGAGCCATTTCCACGCCACCTCCGGGTCATAGGACCGTTTTACAAATGAGGAAACAGAGACACGGAGAGGTTGAGCACCTGTCCAAGGTGTCCTGAGTGAGAGTCAGGACTTGGGGGACAGGCTTGGCAGCAGGGGCCCCGCGGGAGGCCCGGACCCTACTCCAAGGTCCCCTCAGTCACCTGTCCTTGATTCCGAGGCTGGGGCTGATGTCACAGGACCTTCCTGGTGGTCCTGGCCGAGGGGTCTAGAGACCAGGCTCCTGTGCTAGGTGAAGCTGGGGGTCATCAAGTCCCTGAAGCCCATGCTGAACCTCCTCCTGCCCAGCGATGCCCTGCGGGACCAGGCGTACCACTCCATCCCTCTGCTGCTGGCGAGGTACCAGGGCAGCCTGGAGGCGCTCTTTATCACGCAGGTGAGGGGCCTTGGCTGGGGGCTCAGGGTATTTAGGGCTCCTGAGTGTCCCGTGGGGTGTTCTCACGGGTGGGAGATGTAGCCATGGGACCTGGCACTTGTCCGATTTCCAAGAATTATATGCTGCCGTGACACATGTGTTAGCCACTCAGCCACGTCCGACTCTTTGCGACCCCGTGGACTGTATCCCGCCAGGATTCTCGGTCCGTGGGATTTCCCAGGCAATAATACTGGAGTGGGTTGCCTGTTCCTTCTCCAGAGGATCTTCCTGGCCCAGAAATCAAAGCCGGGTCTCCCGTGTTGCATGCAGATTCTTTACTGTCTGAGCCCCCAGGGAAGCCAGGCAGAAAGGATGATGCCTCAGAGGGCTCTGGGGCCACAGTGAGGCCACAGCTCTCACAGCGCTTTCCTAAGGCTGTCGCAACAAAGAGCCAGGAGGCAGGTGGCTTAAAACCACAGAGATGTGTCCGTCATGGTTCTTGAGGCCGGCAGTCTAAAATCAAGGTGTCGGCAGTCTAAGCTCCTTCTGTAGGCTCTAGGGGAGAACCTTGCCTCTTCCAGCCTCTGGTGGCCCAGGCACTGCATCACTCCAGCACCCCCCTCCGTGGTCATATGGCCATCTCTGTGTCTCTCTCTGTCTTCTCTTATCGTAAGGACACTGGTCCTTGGATGTAAGGCATTGTCAGGGTGATCTCATCTTGAGAGCGTTAAGTAATTAGGGCTGCAAAGACCCTATTTTCAAGTGAGCTCACATTCTGAGGTTGTGGGTGGACATGGATTCTGGCGGCGGGGGACACCATTCAACCTCTTACCAGCCTTGGACGTGTGTGAGATGGAGTCTTTGCAAGATTCTGAGCTGAGTTGTGACCTGGGCTGCTGTATATTGTGAAGAGGGTCACTCATTCACAGACGAGGTGAGGCCCTTCTCCTGGTGAGAGCTGGGAACAGAAAGAAACGTGCCGCATTTGGGGAGCCAGGTGCAGACCTTCTGTCTAAAGTTGGTATACACCTCTAGGTGGCTAGGGGAGAAAGGGGACCCACACTCGGTGGCCCTAGTGAAGCCCAGCCATGCTGTAGTGTTGACTGCAATCCTCAGAGGCGGCTGGAAATAGAGTCGGACTCGGGGGTCTGGGCGGGGCTTGAGAGGTGGCCTCTCTGCCCAGCTCCCAGGGGATACTGATACATCCAGAGGGGGAACTTCAAGGGGCAAAGGTCTGGCATTTGACCTGAGTCAGTCAAAGGTCACCTGCCACCGTTTCCTGCCTGTGACAAGTCTTGAGGCAGATCCTGGAGATGTCCTTCATCACCAACAGCCCAGTCCCGCAGATGCAGCTGCACACCATCTTCATGGAGCTGCATGTCCAGGTGAGCCCCAGGGCCGCCCGGGGTGTGGCCTTCCCCAGTGCAGGTCATGGGAGGCGGGCTGGGGGGCGGGCAGGAGAGGCGCCCTGGGGCCCGGTGGTGTGCCGACCAGTGCAACCGGTGGCAGGGTGGCGGTGGGGCCCGTCCAATGCCCCAGGCCTCCCGCCTCCTGCCGGGGGCGAGGCACAGGTGGGGCTCCTACCCGAGTGCCCCGCCGTGGGGCTGACCTCTCCACCCCCCTGCCCGCCCCTCCCCAGGTGTGCTCCAGGGCCCCCGCCCAGCAGCGGTTCAGCAGCCAGAACCTGGCTGAGATCCTGCACCGCTTCATAGCCCTTGGTGAGGCGCCCCCGGGAGCCCTCGGGAGTGCCGGCCCCCTCTGAGCGCCGGGCCCCGGGGCTGCCTTGTCCCGCTGCCGCCCTTGACTCAGGGCACGACTGAAGCTGTCTTTCCCCCTCACCCCTGCAGCCCGCTCCTACCCCAAGGAGCTGATGCAGTTCTTCCTCAGTCAGATGGAGATGAGCAAGGAGGCCGTCCGCGTGGGGACCCTGGCCCTGATCGGGACAGTGGTGAGCACAGATGGTGAGCACTCACCCCGCAGGGAGGCCGGTCGGGAGCAAGGATGGCAGGTGTCAGGCATATCTGGCCTTTTTTCCCCTTAACTGTTTGGCCGCACTCGCGGCGGCATGTGGGACCTGAGTGCCCTGACGGGGATCGAAGCCATGCTCCCTGCGATGGAAGCACGGAGTCTTAGCCCCCGGACTGCCGGGGAAGTGCCTGGGCCATTTCCTCTCTGTAGACCCTGCTGGGTGGGCCGCGGAGTCAGGGCTCTCCGGGGCTCCGTTTCCTGTTCTTGAACCTAAGCAGCCTTGTGTCCCACCCTCCACGGCCTCGCCCGTCTCCTTCAGCCCTGATCCCAGCTTCTGCCTGAGCCTGAATTTCAAACCACAAATCCTAGTATAACTGCCAAAGCTAGCTGGAAGGCTGCCTATAAAGCCTAGATACACAGTATAGATGTGCCCTGAAGCCCCGTTGACCCGGTGCCTAAGCTTAGTCTGAAACCCTGCTTCCGAATCCCCTCAGCCCAGCCCCAAAGCCCGGCCTAGCGACCCCCAGGGACACGCTGTTCCCCAGAGCGCCGCGCAGAGAGCGTCCGCTTGAATGTGAACGCGGCGCCCTCTGCTGGCCGCGGCTGGTCTTGCATGGCTGGGGAAGCACACGTGCTGAGCTCAGGCGCTGCAGTCCCGCCCATTGTTTCCCAGCACGCCGGGCTCCTCTGTCCATGGGATTCTCCAGGCAAGAATACTGCAGTGGGTTGCCATTTCCTCCTCCAGAGGGTCTTCCTGACCCACGGATCAAATCCACATCTCTCATGTCTCCTGCATTGGCAGGAGCGTTCTTTTCCACTAGCGCCACCCGGGAAGCCCTGAGAAGTGCTTGGTTGGCATCAGTTCAGCCCTTCAGCTACTTATCCTTGTGCAGTACACAGGCTGAGCAACTGTATGTGAGAGACATTCTCCTGACAGTAAACCCATCTTTTACAGAAATGCAAATTTAAGCAACAGTGAAAGTGAAAGTTTCTCAGTCATGTCTCACTCTTTCAGTTCAGTTCAGTCGCTCAGTCGTGTCCAGCTCTTTGTGACCCCATGAACCGTGGCTAACCAGGCCTCCCTGTCCATCACCACCTCCTGGAGACCACCCAAACCCATGTCCGTCGAGTCGGTGATGTCATCCAACCGTCTCATCCTCTGTTGCCCCCTTCTCCTTCTGCCCTCAATCTTTCTCATCCTCAGGGTCTTTTCAAATGAGTCAGCTCCTTGCATCAGGTGGCCAGAGTATTGGATTTTCAACTTCAGCATCATTCCTTCAAACAAACACCCCGGACTGATCTCCCTTAGGATGGACTGGTTGGATCTCCTTGCAGTCAAGGGACTCTCAAGGGTCTTCGCCAACACCACAGTTCAAAAGCATCAATTCTTTGGTGCTCAGCTTTCTTCACAGTCCAACTCTCACACCCATACATGACCACTAGAAAAACCATAGCATTGACTAGACAGACCTTTGTTGACAAAGTAATGTCTCTGCTTTTTGATATGCTATCTAGGTTGGTCATAAAATTCCTTCCAAGGAGTAAGCATCTTTTAATTTCATGGCTGCAGTACCATCTACAGCGATTTTGGAGCCCAGAAAGATAAAGTCAGCCACTGTTTGCACTGTTTCCCCATCTATCCCATGAAATGACGGGACCACATGCCATGATCTTAGTTTTCTGAATATTGAGCTTTAAGCCAACTTTTTCACTCTTCTCTTTCACTTTCATCAAGAGGCTCTTTAGTTCTTCTTCACTTTCTGCCATGAGGGTGGTGTCATCTGCTTTTCTGAGGTTGTTGATGTTTCTCCCAGCAACCTAGATTCCAGCTTGTGCTTCCTCCAGCCCAGCATTTCTCATGATGTTCTCTGCATATAAGTTAAATAAGCAGGGTGACAATATACAACCTTGACATATTCCTTTTCCTATCTGGAACCCGTCTGTTCTTCCATGTCCAGTTGTAACTGTTGTTTCCTGACCTGCATACAGGTTTCTCAAGAGGCAGGTCAGGTGGTCTGGAATTCCCATCTCTTTCAGAATTTTCCAGAGGTGGTTGTGATCCACACAGTCAAAGGCTTTGGCATAGTCAATAAAGCAGAAGTAGATGTTTTTCTGGAACTCTCTTGCTTTTTCGATGATCCAGCAGATGTTGACAATTGGATCTCTGGTTCCTCTGCCTTTTCTAAAATCAGCTTGAACATCTAGTTCACAGTTCACATATTGCTGAAGCCTGGCTTGGAGAATTTTGAGCATTACTTTATTAGCATATGACATGAATGCAATTGTGCGGTAGTTTGAGCACTCTTTGGCATTGCCTTTCTTTGGGACTGGAATGAAAACTGACCTTTTCCAGTCCTGTGGCCACTGCTCAGTTTTCCAAATTTACTGAGATATTGAGTGCAGCACTTTCACAGCATCATCTTTTAGGATTTGAAATAGGACAACTGGAATTCCATCACCTCCACCTCCATGACCTCTGTGATGTGAAAGAAATCTAGGTGCTCATTTATGCATAAATGAGTTGAGAAGGATACACCTAAACCATGAAGGCTGGTTGTCTTTTATTTTAATTTCTCAGTGAACATAGACTATTTTTATAATCAGAAAGAAAGTTTTCCATTTTAGAGATGAAAAGCTCTTAAGTGTAACATCGTCCCTTGGTGCCTGATTTCCCGCATCTTCCACCCCAACCTGATTTCCTGTTATTCTTCCTTCTGCAGTGACGTCTAGTAGCACCTAGACTTGAGTGTAGCAAGGCCCTGAGTGCCTGACTGTGGTTCTGTCCAGGCCGACCTCTCAAGAGCCTTCTCCACGCCCTTCCTTACCTCCCTGACCTTCCTCCTCACCCTCCCTCCAGCACACACTCACTCTTGCACACCAGGCCCCGTGTGTCTCAGCTCGTGTCACTGCTCACAGAGGCTAGGTAGGGACCCGCTGTCAGTGTCCGCCTGTCACAGGGGAGGAAGCTGAGGCTCAGAGGGCCTGAGTAAGTCCTGCGCGGTCACACAGTGGGATGCGGTGGAGCCAGAGACAGCGCAGCAGCCTGGCCCTGGAGCCCCGGCCTCCGCAGCCGGGCGGGGTGGTCTGCGTGTGTCTGCTGTGTGTCTGGCCCTGTGTGTCCCACTGAGGGGACCACCAAGCTCTCAGGAGGACGCCCTGCCCTCAGGGCGAGTCCCCTAGTTTCCAAAGAGACACACACGGAACAGAGGCCGAGGGAGTGAGGCCTAGAGACGACCCCCTGGGCAGGGGTGGATGGGCATTGAGAGCGACGGGTGACTTCTGAGGGCAGCGGCCCTGAGCTTGTGGGGCTGAGTCAGAGGTTCTCAGGACGCACGGCACGGACGGGTCCTGATCCTCTGTCTCCCGTGGAAGGTGGCAGAGAGGCCTCACCACTTCTGTGCATCTCCTCAGAGCCTAGCCCTGAGGCCAGTGGACCTCCAGGCGGGCTTTCCTCTTTCAGAGCCCAGAATGAGCATCAGGACCATCTCCCTGGCCATCCGAGTGGTCAAGAACACACTCTCGACACCCGGTCCAAGGTAACAGGGCGGGGAGACCCAGAAAGGGGGAGTGTGCTAGGCTATGCCGGGCAAGTGGAGAGAAGTCAGGGTGCCTTCTTGCATCAGCTGCAGCCTGCTTGCCACCCCTCCCCTCCAGCTCTGTGCGTGGAGGCGAGGCTGCCTTCTCAAGGAAGGCCCTTTGATGGAAAACCTACCTTTCCAGCCAGTCCTGAGTGGGGCTGGAGAAGAATAAGGCTCCTCGAAGCTGTGGCCCCCCTCCCGAGACCCTCCCTGTCACCAAGAACCTGGAGTTTTCCTCTGAAGGGGCTCTGACACTACCCTGGAGAGAGGAAAGGCCAAACACACCCAGCGTCAGCCCAAGCTGCTTGGTTAGCTAGGTGTTTTGTAAGGTCATTACCACCTTTGAGAAAAGCAAGTCTGCAAATAAAGGCTAAAACCCACCATCTTGGCCACTGCAGCCTCGGCCCCCTGGAGAATAGCTTGACTTCTGGACAAGGCCCCTGCTGCTGACCCCTCATGTCCTGGGGGTGCAGTTCAGGATGGTGAGGGTCTGTACAAACCAGGAAGGGAACAGGGTGCTCGGTCTTGAGCCTGAGGCAGAGCTGTCTTCAGCACCTGGAGGATGTCAGGGGCAGAGGGAACAGGCTTGTTTTGTGTCGTCCCCACGTGTGAGCCCCGGGGAGCCCGAGAGAAGAGGCAGGTGGTTCTCACCAGGGCCGCCTGAGGATGGAGCAGCCCTGCCGAGAAAGCAGTGTGCTCATGTCTCTGAAGGGCACAGATGAGGCTCCTGGGTAGACCTGCTGCTGAGCGGGGTCCCCTGGATGAGGCAGGTGGTGGTGGACAGAGTGGGCAGCATCAGGTAGCCCCAGAGACCCCTTCCAGACCACAGCACCCTCAAATCTTAGCTGTCTCCTGTCATGGGATTGGGTGCCAGCGGAACCTCTAGAGCCCAGCGTGTCTGTGCTCTGGCCTCTCAGGTGAGGATGGCCATGCTCCGCATCATCGGGCAGCTGGCCCTGTCTGGATTCCAGGACAGGATCAAAGGCTGGGGCCTGAAGTACGTGTCTGTGCAGCTGACCTTGTCCACCTACAAACTGGTGAGTGATGGCCGAGTGGCTGGGCTTTAGGAATGGTTCCCACTGCGCTGAGGAAAGAGCACTGCTCAATGAACCTGCATGCATGTACAAGCGCACACACAGAGTAAGCTGCCAGGGGTCTAAAAAATAGTGAAACCCGTGCACAGCTCTGGGCTTCCAGGAGACTCAGTATCTGGGTGTAAGCCTCTTGCGGGTAAGTAAACCACAGCTGAGACCATGGCAAGCCCCTGCCGGCCCACAAGCAGGCACTCCTTGGTTCTGTCTTCCAGACAGCCACAGGGACAACTTTTATCAGAGGGGCCTAGAGGAGAAGATGGCCCACAAGGTCACCATGGACACTGTGAGGATCATAACCTCTTCTGTCAGTGGGATGAGCAATGTGAGTTGGCCCACTGGGCTGGGGCTGATGGCTCATGTCTGTGCTCTGCGAGGCTGTGAGGGGAGGATAGCACAGGCCCAGGATTCTGCACCGTTGCTTCTCCCATTCCCACTACCTGGCAGGATGGGCGGCCCCAGGTCTTTCAATTGCCTGAGCTCGTTTTTCAAGATTGAGTTCCTTGGTGGGACCTTATTACCTTCAGCAGGGCAGTGCTTGGCACACAGTAGGCCTAATACATGTCACTTGACTTATTGCTTGAAATGCATCCATCACCTTAAAGCCCCTCAGTCCAGGGGTGTTTGTGTGCCCGAGCGCACATGTATTCAGCCACTCAGTTATGTCCGATTCATTGTGGCCCCATGGACTGGAGCCCACCAGGCTCCTCTGCCCATAGAATTTTCCAGGCAAGAATACTGGAGTGGAGTGCCATTTCCTCCTCCAGAAGATCTTCCAGACCCAAGGATGAAACCTGTCTTCTGCATTGGCAGGCAGATTCTTCACCACTAGAGCCACTCGGAGAGCCCATGCATATGCATGCACGTGTGTATATGTGTGCGTGTGCAAATAAGTGACTCTAGGGGTTATATTTCACAAACACTCACGAGTTCCAACTCTGTGTGAGGCATCCGGGCATACACAGGAAGGCTCAGTGTGACCCCCAAGTTGTTCACAGGCTTTAGGGGAAACAAATGTGTCAATTTTTAATTGCATTACAATGTGACATAGCATTAAGATAGGAAAAGTTTACCATGGCTGCACATGGAAGGAATCATTGTCTATTAATTGAGGCCATGGGCCAGATGCTCCCCATCCAGTGGCAGCTTCTCCTAATTACAAAAATAATAGTTATAGTAATAATAATAATAGTGGTTACAATTCATTGAGTACACGTGGCAGGCACTGTACTAGATGTGTAGTATCTAGAATCTTATTTAATTATCCCAACCACCCTGTGAGGTAAGGTCTGTTGTTATTATTACCCAGCTTTTATCAATGAGGAAACTGAGGCTCAAAGGGACTCATTAATTTCCTCAAGGATTCTAAGGTGGTAAAATGTGGAGCCAGGATAAAAATGGTCTTTCCTGTTCATTATGCTACGTCCCTGGAAACCCAGCAGCCAGGGATTCTGGTCCCGATGGCTGCAGCACACCAAGCACACTCCCTGTCAGTAGCACCGGAGCTCCCCCCAGACTCCTCGGGGTGGGAGGGGGGCTAAGAGGAGTCTGGGTCGCTGGGGGCGTTCAGTGATCACCTGGCGAGACGGGAGATGGCAGGGGGACGTTGAAAGGCTAGAGTCATGGCTCGGAGAACCTGTACAGAAATAGAACCAGTAGGAGATGTGTGTGTGTGTCTGTGTCTCTGTGTGTGTATCTCAAAAATATCAATAAACTCAGATATGCAAATGACACCACCCTTATGGCAGAAAGCAAAGAGGAGCTAAAGAGCCTCTTGATGAAGGTGCCAGAAGAGAGTGAAAAGGCTGACTTAAAACTGAACATTTAGACAATGAAGATCATGGCATCCAGTCCCATCACTTCACAGCAAGTAGATGGGGAAACAATGGACACAGTGACAGACTTTATTTTCTTGGGCTCCAAAATCTTTACAGATGGTGACTGCAGCCATGAAATTAAAAGATTCTTGCTCTTTGGAAGAAAAGCTATGACAGACCTAGACAGCATATTAAAAAGCTGAGACATTACATTGCAGACAAAGTTCTGTATAGTGAAAGCTATGGTTTTTCCAGGAGTCATGTACAGATGAGATAGTTGGACCAGAAAAAGTCTGAGTGCCAAAGAACTGATGCTTTAGAATTGTGGCGTTGGAGAAGACTCTTGAGAGTGCCTTGGACAGCAAGAAGCTCAAACCAGTCAATACAAAAGGAAATCAGCTCTGAATAATCATTGGAAGGATTGATGCTGAAGCTGAAGCTCCAATAATTTGGCCATCTAATGGGAAGAGCTGACTCATTGGAAAAGACCCTGGTGCTGGGAAAGATTGAAGGCAGGAGGAGAAGGGGACAACAGAGGATGAGATGATTGGATGGCATCACCGACTCTATAGACATGAGTTTGAGCAAACTCTGGGAGATGGTGAAGGACAGGAAGGCTGGCGTGCTGCAGTCCATGGGATCGCAAAGAGTCGGACATGACTGAGCAACTGAACAACTTATGTATTGTGCAATTGTGAGCTGGGAAGTCTGAAATTTAGGAGGTAGGCCAGCAGGCTGAAAACTCAGGCAGTAGCTGAGGCTGCAACCTTGAGGCAAACTCTCTTCTTCCTCAGGGAAACCTGTTTTTTGCCCTCAACAGATTTGATCAAGTCCACTCACATTTTCCAGAGTAACCTCCTATATGGATTATGGACTTTCATCAGATTGCATCAAAATACCTTCACCGCCATGCCTAGATTAGTTTTGATTGAATAACTGTGTGCATTCACTAGCCAAGCTGACACATAGAAACTAATCATCACAGTTGGCAAGCATGGCTAGGTTGTCTGCCCAGTGTGCCTCTCTAGGGGATTGGGGGTTAGAGGGAGGGCTGGTCAAAGAGGATGTGCTGGCTGCGGGGTTGGAGTGAGGCAGCGGGCACAGAGGTCAAGGGCCCAGGACTAGCTGACCCCCTCGGCCATGGGGTGGGAGCAGCTTAGACGGCCTTGGCCGAGACCCAGGATGGACAGCAGAGCCGGCGGGCCTGAGGCGGTTAGTCATGGGTCGAAGTGTGGTTCTGGAGAAGCGAGGCTGAGACAAGGCTGTCGGGGTGGGGAGGGACCGACCATCTCATCGCAGGGCTGTGCGCTGCCCAGGCTGGCTGACCCCAGCACCCCCACCTCACCCCCATCGCCCCCACAAGAATTTTGGGTGAGGGTCCCGTGCTGCATCATGGAGACGGAGTACACGGAGGCCTTGATCCCCATCTGCGTCAGCCTCACCAACCTGGCCGAGCGCCAGCTGCACGCCAACGACGAGGAGGCCAATGCAAGCAAGAGCAGGCACGGTGGGCAGCCCCCCTGCGCCAGCTGGAGGGACTGGGCAGGTGGGCCGCCCCATGCCTCGGACTGTTCCCCCTTCTCCAGGAAGCAGCCTGGAGCCCAGAGAGCCAGGCCTTGCCAAAGAGGCCGCCCTTGCCAAAATCCGAGGAGGTTAAAGCCATGCACACTTCCTCTGGCAGCCCACTCCTCTCATCCCACCTCCCACCCACCCTGGCCCAGACCCCAAGGCAGCAGTCCTGGATCAGGCTTCCCGCAGGTGTGAGCTCTCTGGCCCCCGAGAGCCCACTGGAAGGACTGTATATCCTATCTGAGGCCTCTGGAACCACCCCCACCAGGCCCTCCGTCTCACCGTGATTACACACTTGTTAGCACCAGACCCTCAAGAAAGGGACTAGACCGACCTACTTACGGGGACCCTGCTGTCCCAGGGGGCTGCTGTCATGGTCCTGGGGCTTTGAGGATGGATGTGGGTGGTGACAGAAGGTGACTGCGCACCTACAGGACCCAGAGATAGTAGGGGCAGAGCCTGCTCTGAGCATCTGGCTAGACCACCCCTAGTCTGCCTCCTGCCCGGACCCTGAGTCTAGGGCTGGCTCCTTCCTGGGTGCCGCCCCTCCCTGCAGCTTCCAGCAGGCCTGCCCTTCCCTAACCCGCTGTTCCAAATGCTGTGAGCACCCTACTCGTGGGCTCACAGCCTCCCAGAGCCTGCAGAGGGAGGGGAGGGGGCAGTGTCTAGTTACTGTTGGCTCAAGGAGGCCAAGCCTCACAGTAGGAGAGAAACACGCTCAGGCCAGCCGGGTGTGCACTCCCAAGCGGGCACCTCCTGCAAAGAGCACAGTATATGCACGCATATATATGGAATTTAGAAAGATGGTAACAATGACCCTATATGTGAGACAGCAAAAGAGACACAGATGTAAAGAACAGATGTTTGGACTTGGTGGGAGAAGGTGAGGGTGGGATAATGTGAGAGAATAGCTCTGAAACATGTATATTACCATATGTGAAATAGATCGCCAGTCCAGGTTCACTGCATGAAACAGGGCAGGCACTCAGGGCTGGTGCACTGGGATGGCCCTGAGGGGTGGGATGGGGAGGGAGGTGGGGGGGGGTTCAGGATGGGGAACACATGTCCACCCATGGCTGACTCATGTCAATGTATGGCAAACACCACCACAATATGGGAAAGTAATTAGCCGCCAATTTAAATAAAAACATAAATTAATTAATTTAAAAAAAAAGCATTTTCTCAGCCCCAGCCCAGAACACCAGGCTCCTCCTTCCCAGGATGGCCATTTGTATTGATGTCCTTTATGGAAAATCCCCGGTCCTGACCCCTCCTGAATTCTGGGGGGCGCTGGGATGCTGTTGGGGCAACACCTTACAGGGGAATCTCCCCCGGGGTACGGGAGCGGGGCAGCCTCAGTGTCCTGTATCTTTCTCTCCCCAGTGGATCTGCCCGCACCACAGAAGCTGGTGGCCTGACTTCTGGTGAGTGGCTCACGGGTTGTGCATTGGCCTGGCCCCCGCTGTGTCCTGCAGAACCCCTCCCATGAGCTGCTAATCCCAAGGGCCTCCAGGGGGAAAAGGGAGCTGGATGCTTGGCAGGACAGAGCTTTCCAGGCCCCCGTCATCCCTCTGGGGAGATATGGCAAGGGCAGCAGGCTCCCAGATTTCTCTGCTGGGCCTTTGAATGGCCCCAAGCATCCGCAGGACTCTGTCAGCAGGCTGCCCTTCCCTGGGGGTCAGCTCCGCCCTGCACCATGCATCCTCCTCCTTGTGTTGACCCTGCTCGGAGCTCCATGGAACCCGGGGTTGGGGGGGAGCCCATGCTCTCGTGTCTCATTTCCTGTCTTCAGCATCCTCTACAGGGATGCTCTGATCCTGGGAATCCTCGGAGCTCTGCTTGACAGGCCCCATCCTGTCCAACTTTCCCTTTATGGGCTCGGACAGTGAGGCCCCAGGTTGGGGCGTGCGGGGCCTGGGACTACCCTGGGACTAGCCAGCGAGGGGCCCCACTGGAGTCTCGGTGTTCCCCAGGTACTGATGTCATCCCCCAACAAGGGGAATGGCCGCGAAATCACCATGCTCAACCTTCTGAAGACCCTGAGCCAGAGCATCGCCCCCTCCATGGCTGACATGTGGGAGCTGGAGATCCAGCTTCTGGTCAAGTACCTGGAAGGTGAGATGTCCCGGGTGCGTGTGTGAGCCAGCCCCTAAGTGTACCCGCCGGGTGCTAGACCTATGGGTGAGCAAAGGAGCCCGAGTGCATGTGTGATCCCCCGACACACCCCTAGTGTACATGCCGGGTACTCACCACCTGGTCTGAGCAAAGGAGCCGGGGTGTGTGGCCACCTCACATCACTGTACATGCCGAGAACCAGTCACGTGTCCTGAGCAAAGGTGCCCGGGCTCCAGGTGGCCGGCACAGCCTACTCTGCTCCTTGGGAGGGTGGGGAGGGACGTGGGGCTGTGGGGAGCCCGTCCACGGAGGACCCCAGATGCTGCATTTAGGAGGCGGCGTAGAGGAGCCGCAGGAGAGAGGAGCAGGGGTGGCCCTTCTCTCTGCAGAACACACCGAGTTTACCTGGAACCAGAAGACGTGGGAGGACAGGCTGATTCAGGTGGAGGTGATCCCGCCACCTGAGCCCGGGGTGGGGGCGGTGGGGGCAGCTGTCTGTGGGTTTGGTGTGTGGGGAGTTCTGGAGCCCCCAGGGGACACGTTCCCCTCCTGTCACAAGACTGGGGGAGCACAAGCAGCTCCAGCAGGAGACCCCACCCTGGAAGCCAAAGCCCCGGAGGCAGCACAGGGTGACCCCTCCCGGCAGCCCCCAAGCCCGCACAGCACTAGGGCTGGGTCGGGGCTGACAGGGAGAAGCCCTCTAGAGACCGGGGAAGGCGCTGGAGAGGGAGAGTCTCGGCTCGAGGAGCACAGCCCTCTGGAGTACTGCCCACCTCTACCTTCTTCCTCCCACCCCCAGTTTCTGAGAAACTCCCTCAAGATGCCTCGGGGTTCCCGCTGGAGCCTGCGTCTGAGCAAAGAGCTGAACAACCAGGTCGAGAGCTTCGACAGCCCCTCCCTGGAGAAGGTTGGTTCCCAGAGGCAGGGCCGTTCAGACAGGGGGGGGACTCCGGGGACAGCCCAGTGAGGCCAGGTAGGCCTGAGGCTCCCACAGCACCCTGGGAGGGGAGACGGCTGGCTGGTCCAGACCCGAGGGCTGTGGTGTTTTGTTCTGTCTTGTTTTTCCCTCAAGAACCTGCTTTGTTGGAGTGGGGGGCAACTCCCCTCCAGTCACCAGCTTCCTCATTCCTCTCACCTCAGCCCCACCTGCAGTGTTGTCCCTAGCAGAGTCCATGGCAAGGAAGGAGATCTGAACGTGTTTTGGTAAATAGTCCAAAGGGTGAAGGTGGCACCGATCCACAGGATGCCCAAGGGGGAAGATAAGGCCTGGAGGGGGAAGTGGAGCTGACACTTGGTGGTGGACCTCCACCTTTGGCAGACGGGGGTAGAAGCCAGAACACCTTCTATCAGACCATGCTGCACACCCACCCCCATCCCTCCCCACACACTAGTTTCTCCTCCCTGTCTCATCCAGCTGTTGGCTCATGACCACTGCATGTGTCTATTTCATCATTGAGGGGTCTTTACAAAACTATAAACATTGTTGAAAATCAGAGAGGGTCTTGCATACACACCGAGGAAACCAGATCTGAAAGAGACACGTGCACCCCAGTGTTCATCGCAGCACTGTTTATAATAGCCAGGACATGGAAGCAACCTAGATGCCCATCAGCAGACGAATGGATGAGGAAGCTGTGGTACATATACACCATGGAATATTACTCAGCCATTAAAAAGAATTCATTTGAATCAGTTCTAATGAGATGGATGAAACTGGAGCCCATTATACAGAGCGAAGTAAGCCAGAAAGATAAAGACCATTACAGTATACTAACACATATATATGGAATTTAGAAAGATGGTAACGATAACCCTATATGCAAAACAGAAAAAGAGACTCCGATGTATAGAACAGACTTGTGGACTCTGGGAGAAGGCGAGGGTGGGATGTTTCAAGAGAACAGCATCGAAACACGTATATTATCTAGGGTGAAACAGATCACCAGCCCAGGTTGGGTGCATGAGACAAGTGCTCGGGCCTGGTGCACTGGGAAGACCCAGAGGGATCGGGTGGAGAGGGAGGTGGGAGGGGGGACCGGGATGGGGAATACATGTAAATCCATGGCTAATTCATTTCAATGTATGACAAAAACCACTGCAATGATGTAAAGTAATTAGCCTCCAACTAATAAATGAAAAAAATAAAAAATAAAAAAATAAAAAAATTTTAAAAAAAGAAAATCAGAGAGGGTCTCGACCAATGGAAAGCATTTCATGCACACCCTTTAGAGGACACTATATTTAAGATGGTGACACTTGCCAATTTATCTATACATTCAACACGACCCCCACTAAATCCAAACTGGCTTCCCACCCCCACCCCAGAGATTGACAACGTGAAACTAAAGTTCCTGTGGAATTATAAGGGGCCAAGAATAGCCAACACAGTTATGATTTAAAAATGAACAAAGTTGGAAGACTCAGATTTTGTGATTTCAAGACTTCTTGCATAATTACAGTAAACAAGACAGGGTGATACTGGCATCAGGATTGATAATAGATTGATGGAATAGAATTGAGGGTCTGGAAATAGACCTCACATTTACTGTCAATTGATTTTAAACAAGAGTACCAAGACAATTCTTGGTACTCTGGAGTAGTCTTTTCAATAAATCATGCTGGGAAGACTTGCATAGCCACTTACAAAACGATGAACTTGGGCCCCTTCCTCATTCCATACACAAAAATGAACTCAAAATGTACCATATATGTAAATATAGAAGTTAGAACTATAAAATTCTTAGAGTGAAATGTAAATATAAATCTTCATGATCTTGGCCTGAGCAGTCTTCTGAGAAATAACACCCAAAAGCGCAAGTGATGAAAAAAAAATAGATAAATTGGACATCATCAAAGCTAAAAATGTTTGTGCTGAAAATGGTACCATCAAGAAAGTGAAAAATCAACCCACCGAATGAGAATGTTTGCGAATCTAGCCTCTGAGTAGGGACTTGTATCTGGAATATATAAGAACTCCTATAACTCAATAATATAATGACAAATACGCCAATTTAAAAATGGGCGAAGGAAAGAGATACAAATGGCAAGTAATCACATGGAAACATTCTCAAGACCATTGCCATTGAGGAAATGCAAATCAAAACCTCAGGGCGAAATTGAAACACGCCTACCCCTCGGAAGAAAAGCTGTGACAAACCTAAAGAGAACATTAAGAAGCAGAGGCAAATCGCTTTGCCAGCAAAGGTCTGTATAATCAGAACTATGGTAATGAGTCAGCTCTTCGAATCAGGTGGCCAAAGTATTGGAGTTTCAGCTTCAACATCAGTCCTTCCAATGAACACTTAAATGGACTGATCTAAGATGAACTAATTAGCTTCTGAGTTTAAAATTCCCCGAACCCCTTAAATGTGGCCCCAACCCTGGATTGCAGAGAGAGGGCCTTGTCTCCTGTCTCCTCGCTGGTCAACCTCTAATTAAAGCTCTGTCTTTTCTCAAAAGCCAGTGCCATGATGTTGGCTTCTCTGTGTGCGGGGCAGGGAGTGCTTGCCCCAGAAGATGGCAGGCGCGGAGGAGACCGAGGCTGAGGGACAGGCCGTGTCCATCGAGGGACAGGGGCAGCAGGCTCGGAGCCTCTGCACGGCTCAGCTGCATGCAGGGTTCTGTTGGAGCTGAGCAAGACGCCTCCAGGGCCCGGCGTTACCTCGCCTTACAGAGAGACGAGAAGCTTTTCCAAGACAAAGATTCGGGATTCAAAATCAGAGCAGGCTCAAGGGGGAGGGATGCATCGGGAGTTTGGGACTAGCAGATGCCAACTGGTATATATAGGAAGGATAAACAACAAGGTCCTACCATATAGCACAGAGAATTATATTCGCTATTCTGGGACACATTATGATGGAAAAGAGTGTGAGAATATATATATATATATAAATGAAGTACTCTATTATAAAGAAGAAATGAATGCAACATTGTAGATCAGCTTCAATAAAACAAAGTTTTTTTAAAAGAAAAAAAATTTTTTAAGCCAGGGCAGGCTGCCTTCATGTCCACACCGTATTCACCAGGCATGAGCATCATTTCAACCATGTACAGAGGGAGCAAGTCCCGTGTTCCATTCACGTTTAGAGCCGCTGGTGCAATTATCCTGCCAGGGAGCCACCAACCTGAGCTCACCATCCTAAAGAGGGTCAGCTCAGTAGCAAGCCCTCACTCATTAACCACCTGTTCTTTGGCCAAACGCGGGGAATTGGTGTAGAGTGGTGATGACCAGGGACTGGGGTGGGGGAAACAGAGAGATGTGGGTCAAAGGGTGCAAACGTCAGCTGTGAGATTGGTGAGTTCTGGGGACCTCGTGTGCAGCATAATGATTAGAGCTGATACTGTATCACACACTTGAAAACTGCCAAGAGAGAGATCTTAAATGTTCCTACCTGGTACGTCTATACAACGGAACATTACTCAGCCATTAAAAGGAAGGAAACAGGGTCATTTGTAGAGATATGGCTGGACCTAGAGCCTATTATACAGAGTGAAGTAAGTCAAAAAGAAAAATAAATACATATTAATGCATATATGTGAGGTCTAGAAAAATGGTACAGATGAAGCTATTTGCAAGGCAGGACGAGAGACCCCCATGGAGAGAATGGTGGGCACATGGACACAGTGAGGGGAAGGAGAGAGGATGAATGGGGAGAGAAGCCCCAGCATGTTGACATGTGTAAGACAGACAGTAGAGGGAACCTGCGGTCCCGCAGAGGGAGCGCAGCTCTGTGATGACCTAGAGGGGCAGGACGGGGGTGACTGGGAGGGAGGCGCTACAGGAAGGGGACATATGTGTGCACATAGCTGAAACCAACGTCAGAAACCAATATCACATCGTGAAGCAGTTATACTCCAATAAAAATAAATAAAGAAAAAAAATTTTTAAAGACACGGTCATTATGTGAGGGGGTAGAGGTGTTGGCTCAGCTATGGTAGTTATCATTTTGCAATATGCAAATATATCCAGTCAGCATGTAACAAATCTTAAAGGTACGCAATGTTATATGTCGATTATGTCTCAATAAAGCTCAGAAAAAGGAACACTTTTAAGAACAGACTCCCCAGCCTCCTCTGACACCCACGCTAATGCCCTGCTTCTTGCTAAGTACATAAGGCACCTGCTGAGAAGCAGGTATTCCACTGATCTGTGCTATAATTCTACATAAAGAGAACATTCCAACACACTGACAGCAATGCATTCTCAAGTATTTAAAGATACCTCCTTGAGTTTTCTTTTCTATTTATGTGCACAAATTAATAAAACTCAAGTCAAGAAAATCTTTAGTCCAAAACATATCTGAATTAACCAAAATTGGTGGAGTATAAATAAACATACAAGTGACACACCTCTTTATCTACAAGTATTATTTTGCTATAAATATAAACACAAACACATAATTGTCCACAGGAACAAATGAATTTACCTGTAATCCTATTCCCTTTATACAAGGGACAAGAGGTTGCCTACTTTCTTCTAGTTTTTTTCTCAGAATCTTACAAACCATTGTTTTAACATAAAATTAAGTATCCTACATTTAAAAAAATAATAATAAGCTACCCCTGTATCAAGGGTAGTTTTCCACATCGCTTTTATGTTTAATGTGTTTAATGACCACATAACATCCCTACAATGATTCCAGTTCGCTAAACTATTTCTCTGTTACCGGGTGTTTACTTGACTTTTTTTTTTTTCTTCTGTAATAAATAAGACTGCAGTAAGCATTTTCCTGTATGATTTTTTGTGTGATTACATATCATAAGCATTCGATTATCAGAAGTTGGAGCCCTCTGTTCAGGGACAGAATTGAAAATGTGACTGCTGACTCAGCCTCTGGAATCATGAAGATGGGGTGATGGACAGGGAAGCCTGGCGTGCTGCAGTCCGTGGGGTCACAAAGAGTCAGACACGACTGAGCAAGTCAACTGAACTGGGGAGACTGAAGTCTCTCTAAACGCAGAGACATTCTCAAGAAGGCCATGCTCATGCTTGAGGCCAATAGGGACACCCTCTGGAACCTTTCAGTTTGGGGCTTTTCTTTCTTACAAGCTCACATCCCTCCACCGAGGGAGAAAGGAGAGGATGGGAAACCCAAACCAGCCTTCCTGGGGAGGGGCCGCCCCAGGGAGGGTCCGTCTGCCATCTGCCCACGACCTCCTCCCTGGCTGGCCCCGCCCCGCGTGCCAGGATTACAGCGCCGCTGTCTACCCTGAGGTCAGTCGGTCCTGATCCGTCATCCGTTGGAAATGGATTCATGACTTGAACTGGATTTTCCCAAAGGCTACTCTTTAAACCAGCTGCCCCGCTGGCCCAGCAGTAAAGAACCCGCCTGTCAAGCAGGAGACATGGGTTCCATCCCTGGGTTGGCAAGATCCCCTGGAGAAGGAAACAGCAACCCACTCCAGTGTTCTTGCCTGGGAAATCCCATGGACAGAGGAGCCTGGCGGGCTACAGTC